AAAAAGCAGCAAACAGAAAATCCATTTTTTGTGATTAAAAGGTAAGTTTTCTTCCATTTCAATACCTCAGGATTTGATTTTAAATGTTAAAAATTATTTTTTTAAAGTTATATAAAAATTTCTTGATAATATTGTATATAATTTCCTTTTAACACATTACATTTTGTTAAAGGACATTTTTTTAAAAATTCACTGCAACACCTAATTTTAAAATTATATTAAAAGTATTTAAATTCAAATTTCATGTAGTAATGTTGGTGTTATTTTAAAAAGAAAGGTTGAACTTTATCTTAAAAGAATATTTGTGTAATTAAAACAATTTAAATTAAAACAATGTTAATTTAGTTTCCATTAAAAGTACAAATTTTCACTTTTCCAGTCATCAATCAACGCCATTTTCTGACACCTGTTATCAAGTGATAAGAATCTTATTTAAATGTTTTTTAAAAATTAAAATAAAAATGTCTACATCTACATTTGATTCTAACCATACCTGCCACATCTGCTTCCTGTGAGAGATTGTTTTCTTCACTAAAGTGTGTAAATAATTATATGAGGTGTTCCTAAAGTAAAGAGCAATTAAGTAATTTAGTTTTCATTTCCATGAATAAAGTCCTTTTGGAAAAGATGAAGGTAGAGTGTGGTGCTGATATTTTTACAACAAAGTGATCAATGAATTTGACAAAAAGAAACAAAGAACTGAATTCATTTACAAATAAATTTTAATAACTCATTATTTTTAGATTTTATTATTTTCTCTCATAATCAATAGCAGTCATCATCATCATCACCAGAATATTACTAAGGAGTAGGGGTATCAAGTCCAGTGGAGAAGGGTAACAAGTCTGAAACAGACCCTGTTGGTAGAAGTGTATTTTCTGACATTAAAATTAGTTCGCATCACATTCACAGATAGTAGGAGGGGGGCACAAATAATTTTCCAGAGGCGCAGAGTGAGGTTTTCCTTTTCCCTCTCCACCTTGGTGATTAGCCTGCATAATGGACTGAATGCAGTATAGAGAAATGCACATATAAGTGTTGTGAAAAATTAAGATTGTGAGCAGTGATGGCTCCAGAGTTGCTGGCACCCCAGACAAGCTGAACTTTGACACTCTTACAAATACAATTTTTAAAGTTTTCACAAAGAGAAGAACTGAAGATGTAGAATAATGAGTTTATTACAATATACAACTTAACACAAGTTAAAGAAAACATTCATTGTCTTACCTACATTTTTTTTCTAGACTTTAGATCAGCAAGTCTTTTCATAGCACTTTCTACAACTATCTTCTTTACAAGATTATTTTCTATTGACAAAAAAGCAAAAGAATTTAATCTGTCTTGAGCAATAGATGACTGAAAGTATATTTTTATTAGCTTTAGTTTTGGAAGATCCCAAACACATAACATGGTGGCATGATGGTACCTCAAGCAACTGCCTGAGTTGCCAGTACTAAAGCACGAAATAAAGGAGTAGACTTTGATACTAGCAGAAAAAAGCAGGAACCACAGATCCTTGCAGGAATAAAGAATCAGCCTGCAGAAGGGAAAACTATATATACATATATATATGTCATTTATAGACAGTACTGTTTAACAGCTCCTCAGTGCAATTAGACATCCAAATGTCTCAAGCCAGGATTGAAACCCAACTGATTTGGTGTCAGTCAGAGCTTCTACCACTGAGCTATCTTCATTCAACAGAGAGAAACAGCTAAATCTAGCATATTGTTTTTATGAATGTAAACAAATGCCAAACAGCTGGAGTGCTCCAATTCATTTGACTGAAGAACTTTGCATTAACGCAGGCGGCTGTTGTTTATAGAATTAGCCTATCACTCAACAGTGCTAAATTGAAATATATTTTCAAGAGCTAAATTATGTCATTTGCAGACAGTACTATTTCATTTAAAAAAATAATATGACAGCTTGTAGAAAAGATTTTGCAATGTGTTTCATCCAATCATCCGATGATATGCATCATAAAAACTTTTCTCCAATTTGTCTTACTATTTTTGTAAATATTGTTTGTTGAGATATAAAATTATACAGCATAGTAGTTATCTAGACCAATAATTATTCTCAATAAAATAAAAATTTCATAATATTTGTTTGTGAACAACTAAAAGTTTTGCAATGTCTTAAGGAACGTTAACATCACAAAACTTTTAGTCAATTATAGATGGGTATCATAAACTTTTTATTTTTAATTTATATATATATATATATATATATATATAAAGTGAACATAGAAGTCAACACTTAGAGGTGACAGTCTGTTTCATGCTATATGCCTCTAAGTGTTGACTTCTATGTTCACTTTTATATTTACACACGCTCTATCTCTGATATCGAGCACTTTATCCCATAAATATAGCACACCTTAAGACTATATTTCTTCATATATATATATATATATATATATATATATATATGAATAAGTTATATTTAGGTAGCAACTATTCAGCCAACAAACAAGTTTAATTAAAAAGAATTGACACAATGTGTCTATTTAATTTTTTATTATATTTTTCCAATTTTCTGATAAGTTCCTGAGAGTATTGTACTCAAAGTTGCAAATAAACTGTTCCAAGTTTATATTTTGTTATTGTACTTTCGGTTATTGCAGTCATTATCAAGAACTAATGTGATGCATATGTGGCAATTAGAATTTCTTTGTTGATATCCTGGTAGTCTTTGGAAGTTTGAAATGGTCAAGTATGACATCAGGTGTAACAGTTATTGGGAATGAGGCTGCACAAGAAGAATGCAATTAATTATTTTATTTTATTTTATTTTCAATGCTAATATAATGTGCACATCTTATGCACTTCAAGATACCATCTCCTGTGCTGAATGATATTTTGTTTTGATAATGTTTATTTTGTATAATAATGGCTTCTAGGGTTTTATGTCTTTCCTTGCATTTGGTGCTATAAAGTATTTTGGTGTGACCTATTAATATTTGTCTTATGTTGGTAGTTATATTTTTCAACATATGCTGATTGATGTGTCCATGGATTGCACTGAGTTATGACAGGTGACAAGTTCATCTATGAGAGAGTGTGTGCCCAATATAAAGTTCCAGATAATATTTTAGTATTTATTATATATACATGTTACAAAATAATTCCTTACATTTGCCCTTTGTCTTTATTCATATATATATAATGTCATCCACAGACAGACTGTTTCTCTGTTTCACAGCTCTTCAGTGTGGCTAGACATCTGGTTGCCTCTAGCTAGGATCGAGACCCGACTGAATTGGCGTCAGTCGGCGATTCTACCACTAAGCCATTGGCGCACAGCAGGGATGAAGGTGAATTTTAGTGTATTTATTTTTAGATAAACACACAGTGACTGACAGGACTCAATTCGCTTTTGCCAGAGAGTCTCGCTATATCAGCCATAATAGTCACTGTTTACAAACCCACACTTCCTCCAAAGAGAGCTAAACCGAAATTAATTTTTCAAGAGATGTGGTTCATGGAAAGAATTTACTCAGGTGTAACTTACATCATTGGAATACGAAATGAATGAGGGTGGTTTGATGGCGGGTTTTATTTGTGAAGGTTAGAATTGGTGGAACACTTTCCATAGAAATATTGATAGAGTAGCAAGATGCTTGTAACATTTTATCTGGGGAAAAGGAGTTTAGGATAGAAAGTAATTCCTCATCCACAAGAATGCAGAGATGCTTTTGGACTCTATCAAGACTAGAAAGTGAAGACTGTGCAGCTCCTTTATATATATATATATATATATATATATATATATAATCACACAAGTACCTTTACATATTCATGCATAAAGTATGTGCTTATATCTGAATGTTTTGGCCATTTAACACTCTGGCCTTCTTCAGGTGGTTGGAATGTCAAACTGAACCCTTTATTTCGCTCACTGTGGTAGACTGTTCTAGTTCCATGGATGTCAGTTATCAGTTATCTCCTGTTAATTGACCTCTCCAAGTTCTCCACTGCCTTAACCAGGTATTGAACTCACAACTCTTTGGGTCCTGTCACTGGATCTCACCAACACCTTTATCCACTGTGCTATATGTCCTTAAGGAGTTCAATACCTGGTTAAGGCAGTGGAGAACTTGGAGAGGTGAATTAACAGGAGGTAACTGATAACTGACATCCATTCTAGTTCCACATGGTACGTCGATCTAGAACAGTCTACCCAGTGAGCAAAATAAAGGGTTCAGTTCGACATTCCAACCACCTGAAGAAGGCCGGAGCATACAATTGCCAAAACATTGTGATAAATATGGCAACAAAGATGAGGACAATAGTCCGAATAATGTAAATAGTGTACATAATACCTCATCTCAAAAATATAGACAAAATTTTTGGTACAATAACAATTTTTATATCTTGGAAATAAATTTGGGAATAATTGAAATTAGCTGCAAAATCCAGCGAAAGTCATCCATGAAATAAAAATAATTGTTTGTATGGAAAATAAGGACATATGTACATCAAATTGTCTTTAAATTAAGTGGCAGTAGAAGAATTATTGTTGAACTTTTAAAAGGTAAGCTTAAATATTGATACAATACTTAAATGCAGCAATCAATTTTCAGCTCTTCTTGAGAGGCTGGCTTTTAATCTAGTTAATAATATTTGCCTTAAAAAACATTTGCTGTCTAAATACACAGAATCTCCATATGTATATATTTTTATATATACATGTGTGTATGTATGCGTGTTTGTGAATGTTCATGAATGTAAACTCATATGAATACTAAAAATTTAATCATTAATGCATTTTATTAGTCAAATTAGATATTTGTTCTTCAAATTTTTGCATTGTCTATACTAAGTTTCATGTAACAATATATCTATTTATGCAAAATATATTTAATTTCTTCTCATCAAGAATTCCTTAATTAAGAATCTTTTTACAATACGTTTCTAATTTCTGCTTTTGTTGACAAACATCTTCATCTTGGAATTGGCACTGTTCTACCACTGGCAAAATTCTACTTACATTTGATGATTTTTTTTCTTCTTTTTGTCCAAAAGCCTGAGGTCAGGGGTGTGGTTCATTATGGGAAATGGAAGCTGAGGCAAGTTGTTTGCAACAGAAATGTCAACATTTATGTGAAATGCTTCACTTTATCAGATACCAGTTCAAAACTTCAAGAAAATTATAAAATAAGACAGTCTCTCTCTCTCTCTCTCTCTCTCTCTCTCTCTCTCTCTCTCTCTCTCTCTATCTATCTATCTATCTATCTGTCTATTTCTCTATACCTCTTTCACTCTCTCCCTTTCTCCCTCTCTTTCTCTCTCCCACTCTATCTCTCTCCCTCTTTTCTCTCCCCCTCTATGTATCTCTCTCCCTCTTTCTCTCCCTCTCTTTCTATCTATCTCTTTCTTTTTCTCTCCCTCTTTCTCTTTCACCCTCTTTCTCTATCTGCCCTTTTTCTCACATTCTTTCTCTTCCTTTTTCTCTCTTTCTCATGCTTTTTTTTCAAAGACTACTTGATAAGTCAATTTATTCCCTGCATTTCAGAAAATGAAGTTTCCTTCGTTTATCTTTTAATATGTCTGAATGTAATTATAATGAAAAGAAGAGACATTCTGATGGATAACTGTTATATATTTGTAGCTGGAATAACTTATTAAAGTTTGTAACTCACAGCCATCTGCTAAGCACAAGATTCGTCAAACATCACAGGTGATTAAACAAGAATCACAAATTAGGCTTACAAATCAGTCTCCATGAGGCTCTAATCAATTCAGTTGCTCTACTTTGATAGCTAAAGGAATACTGACCTTTGTCATGCCTGAAGCAACTGCTATCCGAGACTGGTAAAAAAAAAAAAAAATTCTTCCAAGAAAAAAATTTTCCTGGCAGATGAGACTCCTTGAACAGTACAGCCAAATTCAAACATCATGTTAAGCAAGATCAGGTAGACAGAAAAAGTTATTTTACTTGATCCTAGTTCAAATTTGCTGGAGGAAAAAATAAATCTCACTTGTGGATGAGATGCTGAAGAATAAAAAAAGCCAAATTTAATCATATATCAAGTCAGGATCAGAAGGATGTTCAGAACATTGCAAAAGTTAATTCACTTGATCCTTGCTCAAAGTATCTGTAGCCAGAGGAAATAAATCTCTATTAGTGATGAGAGAAGAATAAAAAAGAAATCAAACATACATCAAGTCAGGCTCTGAAGTAGTTTGAACAGAGGCCATTTATCTCACTATTCAGATGTTTCACTTGATCCTTCATCAAACCATCTTGAGCAAGAAAAAATATCATTCTCCTGTAGAAGAAAAGCATGAAACAAATAACAAAATATAAACAGGCAAAGCATCAGTACCATGGGTAAAAAAATAGTTTATTTATTTTACAGGTAAAGACAATGATTAAAACATCAAAAAAAGACATACTTGAACCATCTATGAAATTAACTGCAAAAGTGCTGTTTCATTACATAGGAAACTATCTCAAACCTGACTCATATACTTCTTCTTCTTCTTCTTCTTCTTCTTCTTCTTCTTCTTCTACTTCTTCTTCTATGGGTCATGTTCTTTCAAATGATAGGTAATCATGGCTCTCCAAAACTTCCTGCTTTTATAGCTCTTAATAAAGTTTTTTTATTATATCTCTCCTAATTCTTGTTCTATCAACCATTTACATAAGCTCATTATATACTGCCTTCTGTTGTCCCTTTGGCTGTCAATATGTCCAGTGAGTGTTAAATTTTCTAAGCCCTCTAACCTTATTATGTGTGCTAGAAATTACGATAATCTCCTTCTAATTCTAAGTATAAGCAAACTTTTTGTTCTCATTTTCTCTATAAGAAGACTAATATTACATAAAAGTCCAGTACTTAACAAATAATGTAATCAACTATGTAAGGAGAAATGGCTGTTATTAGGTTGAGTCATAAATAATTTCCATTTTTGTTTATCAATTTTATTCTTCAAAAAATAAAGTTCAATTATGTTTTATTCAATTCTATATTCACCATTATTCATAATAACCTGTTGCCACAACTCTTCAATAAGTCAAAAGATTATATTGATTCAATTGCTAGGTCTGCTACTAAAACAGATGGTTCACTGATGCTAGATAATTTTTCTCATCAGAATTTATTTTACATAATTATAAGTCTACCAATAGTCCATGCAATGAATATTGCCGCAATATATAGTCTGGTGATCTTGGTATATATTTAGAGATCCTTGATAAAATCCAAAGAATCGGCAATATACTTGGTTCTGATGTCGCACATCAAATTTCCCACTGCCATAATGTAGCTTCCTTGTCCCTTATCTATAAATACTTTCATGTTAATTGTTCAGATGAACATTCCACTATGGTACCTAAACTTTATGAATTTAAGTGCAGTACTAGATTAGCAACAAGGTCTCATCAATTTATTGTTGAATTGGTTAGATGCAACTGTAAGTTCTATGTTAACAGTTTCCTCTATCTAACTTCTCTTTTATAGACTCTCTTCCATTTCCATGCTTTCCAGCCAACTTTAATCTTCAAAAATTTATATGCAATCACAATCATTATCTACTGTCTTCTTGATTACTCTTCTTTGATTGTTCTCAGTTTTTAATAATGTTTCTCTTCTTACTTCTTGTTTTGCACTTAGTAACCACTTGTGTATTAGTGGTTCTACTGCTTAGTTTGTGCTGAAATGATTAAAAAATAAATAAAATAAAATTCTGCAGGTTTTGAGGTGAAAAATTTTCAGCAAACTCTTGAATCTGGTTTTCATGAGAGAAAGTTTTCTCCACTAAAGCATTTTGCAGTAACCGAAAATGACAATAATTGGTTGCTGTAAAGTCAGGTGAGTATGGCAAGATGGATAGAACAAACCAACCAAGTTCAAATTTTTTTTTCCTGTGTTATTCTTGCTATACACAGACTCGCATTGTCATGGAGGAGAATAATGTTTTTCATATTGACAAACACATGGAGCTTTTTGATCGAACTGTTATGGACATATTGCAACTGCTGGAGTAATGGATAATAGCTTGAAATTCTGAGTCATTATCCATTACACCATCCACACACCCAAGCTTATAGCACCTAGTATTCCCAAGTGGTCACCCATCTAGTTACTAACCAGGCTTGACATTGCTTAACTTCAGTGATCATACAAGAACTGGTGTTTCAACATAATATTGCTGTATGACCATCAAAAACCATGTAAAAATCAGGTCAACAAATACTGGCTGAAAAGGATGACATAATTTGATTTTATGAGACATTCATTTTGGATATATCATATTTGACTATATTTTTAATTAGACTCTTAATTACATATTTAATACTTTTAATCAGTCTTTTAATTAAGTATATAATACATTTATATTTTAAATATTGAATATTGCTGCCATATCTTGTCTGATGTGTCTGCTACATATTTAGAGATTCTTGATAAAATACAAAGAAGACAGTGCAATTTTATCAGTTCTAACTTAGCATCTGGCTTCAGTCACTTTCCCACTGCCATGACATAGCTTCCCTGTGGCTTTTCTATAAATATTTTTATGGTAACTATCCTGATTAGCATTCCTATCTGATATCTCTATTTTAGGAATTTAAGTGCAGTACTAGATTGGCAGTTAAGTCTCATCAATTTACAATTGAAATTACTAGATATAACTCTATAAGTTCTATGTAACAGTTTCATCTCTTTTACTTCTCACTTGCAGAATTCTCTTCTAGGTTCTGGCTTTCCAATCAACATTGATCTTCAAAAATTTAAATGTGATGTCAATTGTCATCTTCTGTCTCCTAGAAGCCTGTTCTTTTATTGTCCTTTCTCCTTAATAATGTTATTTTTTTTCATATTCTTTTACACTCAGTAACCACTAGCATCTTAATGATTTTATCACCTTGCTTGGGGTGAAATGATTTTTAAAAAATACATATGGTTTCTTTCTTTCTTTAAATTTTATTTGAAAATCTTATGTGTCATTGTCATTAATCCTCAAGTTTTCATATTAATAATCCCAATTCCTCAGTCTATTTTATATTTTTTGCCCTCCTTGAGTAGATAGATAGATAGATAGATAGATAGATAGATAGATAGATAGAAACAGACTGGGATAGATAGATAGATAGATAGATAGATAGATAGATAGATAGATATAAGCAAACTGGGATAGATAGATAGGTAGCTATGGGCAGACTGGGATAGATAGATCACTATTAGCATATTGGGGTAGTATTTAATTGAAAAACTTTACCTTAATTTTAAATTTCAAATATAAATAAATTAACCAAATTAAAGTAATGAAATTATAAAACTGAACTCAATTAAATTGATTTAATTTTGTCAATTCTCATCATTAGAATTCAACTATTTGTATATACGAGACAACTATTCAAAATAGTATGAAATAAAATTACTGCCATTACATTACTATTTCTAGATCCAAGAACAGAAGCATTTGCTGGGATAATCACAGATGTCAGCTGGGTTAAGTTAAACTTAAAATGTGTTTTGAACTGAGAACAAAACTCATTTTATTTTATCCAGGATTTGAGTCTCTGATGCCAGTATAAAAATAAATATCCTCGCTGAAAGAGACACTCAAAGCAGAAAATTCTAGTTTAAAGATAGCACAATAGATTTTGGATTCAAATTATTTTCAGCAGACAGCAAAAGTTCTTTTGCCTTGTGTTTGTTAAAAAAAGATGGCGGTCAAGTGGGTAACCATGTTCTCCTTTAGAAAAGACACTGAGCAGAAGTAAATACATTTAGTTCAGGAGTAAATTTTGAGTAGGGACTGATGTGAATTCTGACTCAGATTTTTTTTTCTTTCAAACAACATCTGTGCTCAAATTAGAAAGCCATACAGGAAAATCAAATAAAGTTTAATTTGTGAAGCAATTTCTTTGAAGTAGCTAAAGATATTAGAGCCTTTTCTTTTCCTTACTATGAATACCTGATAAGATCAGCAAAAGTTTGAGGCACGATAATGTATGATAGATACTATCATCATGTCACATCATAAGTCCTGTAGCTTGTTGTGGTTGTTCTGGTGATGTGTTGCCCTTGTCTGTATGAACTTCTTGTTTTTATATATATGTAATTTTGTTTGGGGTTTAAAAAGACATCATCAGCCTCACAATGGAAATATATAAATTGAAAACAAATCATATACAAGATACAATACAGTAAATGTAAACAAAAATGAAAAAATGCTTTAGTATACATTTCAGAGAAAAGATTGTATATTTTAAAGAACATATACATATACAGAGATAAAAAGTTTGGACTTATTTGTTGGCAACCACATGACCTGTCAGAGAGAGAGCTGTCCCTGGACCTCAGGATTCTATATTTATTTAACTATTTTTTCATATTCTAAATTTTTTCTTTTATTGTTAATTATCGTTCTTAACTATATTTTAAAGGAATTTCATTACTTAACATATAATTTTTCTCTTAATTTTATTTTTCTTTCATTATTAATTATTTTGATTTCATACTTCTACATAGTTTGTAATAATGTTTAGAGGTTATTTTGAAATTTATTTGTTGCTATCACTAAAAGCTCATTATGCACTGCAGCTGTAACAGCAGCTGTTATCTTTTTAAATATATTCTCATTGTTAAAAACAAATAATCATTGTCACAAGTTATGTCACCCATTAGATCATAAGGTACCACATGTACTGCAGCCATACCATCAGCGGTGTGTCTACAGCAAGATAGACTGACAGAACCCATTCCACTTCAGGCTGTTTTTGAATTCAGAGTTTTCCTTCTCTAAGATTTTTCCAAGAACTAATTTTCATACCATTGTTCTGATATATAAAAATTTATATATAATAGTCTCCCATATATATATATATATATATAATGGACTCTCCCATTGGTTTCGACATATGAGGATCTGACTACTTAATTGATTCAGTCATGAAATTTTGTATGATAAGCTTAAATGGCACTTAAGACCCACTAGGAGGCCACATATGGAGCAAGAGTAAGTATTGTGGGATGAGATCACTGTTAGATTGGCTGACCTTTTAGATCTTGCTCTTGTGTCTTGAAGATGATTCAAACAAGCTGATTGAAAACTGCTGAGTCCACTATATATATTATATGAATTTGTGGCAAATGTGTTCATATCAGAAGGTCACCAGTGTTGATAGCTGCTAGGATAATTATTCTTATTGTAAACATAGGACATAAAATGAACTGACTTAAGGGTTAAAATAAGTAATATATTTTTATTTAATTTCTTTAGAATGGTTAGTGTATTTGGTATTCGGTGTAGCAAAAAGTTTGTTAATAAGCTGGATATTGATGGTAGTCTGGAGAAATGTTCATTAGTGGTTGTTTTGAAGTAAGACCATGATAGAGGTAGCAGTAATGTGAGAAATTAGGTCAAAGTCAATCTACTGTATTTTATCTTGACCCTTAATAGGGTGGAAATATCAGTAGCAGATGACCTTTTAATTGATTCTTGACACATCATACATGGTTGGTTTCTATGTGGTAGCATACTTCTGCCGTACTTATGGCACTCACCCAGAAGTGTCTGTTTATATCCTTTTGAATAGACTCAAAGTTTAAAAAGTCATTTTGTGTCAATTTTTTTTGATTTGTCAAATTATTTTATTTTCCAGTGATCCTTTCTTTTTCATATTTTTTATAACAGAAGTTATGACTGAAGCCCCCCTGATTTTTGGTAGTTTCCACTTACAAATAAGTAAGCTCTGCTCCTGCAAACTTCTGGTGTTTTTTGATGGGTTTAGTTTTTTTCTTCTTCCTCCTCCTTTTTTCTGTAGGGGAGTTGCCTTCTCATAGGTTGAGAGAAGTATAGAAAAAGAAGTTCAAAGAAAGAAAGAAAGAAAGAAAGAAGGGGTTTAAAGGAAAGCACAAATTATTTTAATTTGAATTCTTTTTATTTTTGTTTATATATTGTATTTTTATCGGGACTCACTACAAATTCATAGCAGAACATGATTTTCCAGTTCTGTATGGATTAAACATGGAGTTTAACTTTCTGTCACTTATATTACTTGTTCAAAATTAAAATTGTCTTTTACTGTTTGATGTTATAACTTATAGAGTTATGCATACTTGTAGGTGATAAATCATAAATTATTTTCTACTATATAACCTCTTTTTTTTTAACCTGGTATACACAGGCAAAGTTTTGAAAATTAATATTTACTTCTATTCTGTTATTGCTTACTGAGTGTAAGTCTGCATTATAGATCAAAAGAACTTAATTCAAAATTACTATGTCTTATGACATATTAATTTGAGTTCACTGAGATTAAGTCTATGACATAATAATTATCAGTTCAATCCCTGGGTCAGGTAGTTCACACTTAGACTTAGTGGAAACAGGGCAAGCAATAACTGAGCAGTACTAAAAATAAGAACTAGACCAAATATCCCTAGACATGGGTAGTGGAAGGAATTCAATATATCTCTGTAGATTAAATAAAGCTTTCAATTCAAAAATCCTGATGGTTATCCTGATTGGCAGACACCTGAATAAGAACAGAGAACACAATGGCCAAAACATTGTAATAATAACAGCAAAGATAAGGACATTAATCTGAATGAAAATAATAATCATGTAATATATGTTCTGAAGAAGAACAGAGAACACAATGGCCAAAACATTGTAATAATAACAGCAAAGATAAGGACATTAATCTGAATGAAAATAATAATCATGTAATATATGTTTTGAAAAAGAACAGAGAACACAATGGCCAAAACATTGTAATAATAACTGCAAAGATAAGGACATTAATCTAAATGTAAATAATAATCATGTAATATATGTTCTGAAGAAGAACAGAGAACACAATGGCCAAAACATTGTAATAATAACAGCAAAGATAAGGACATTAATCTAAATGTAAATAATAATCATGTAATATATGTTCTGAAGAAGAACAGAATAATAACACAAAAATAAGGAGAAAAACATTGTAAATAATAACAGCAAAGAAAACATTAATCTGAATGAAAATAATAATAATAAATATGTTCAAAGAAGAAAGGACATAATAATCAAAGATAAGGACAAATAATCTGAATGAAAATAATAATCATGTAATATATGTTCTGAAGAAGAACAGAGAACACAATGGCCAAAACATTGTAATAATAACAGCAAAGATAAGGACATTAATC